TTACACCAGGGAAAAATACTAATCCACTACCAGGGGCCCCATAGGGTGCCGAGGCCACCTCGTTGACATCCATGTTCAGGGGTCTGGATCAGTAGACAGGGACTTCTTATATTGCCTGGTTTTGTATCAAGCTGCTAGACTAATGCCATCTTCCTGCATCAGCTTTCCAGGTACCAGGCTGGACTTTGAAAGATGAATGGAAGTAAAAATAAATCATATGCACTGTAACTTAACCAGGTGCCATTTCACTTTGATAAAAAGAGTGGCATTGTCGCAGTGTACAAAGCTGCTTTTTACTTTACTTTTCTGGATGTAAGAACCTGAACTTGATCTTGGCTGTTATCTCAGGAACCCTCCCACAATGACTGCTTGGTGGTGTTTAAGATTGTATGAAATGTTTTCTCAGAAATTCTCAGTTTTTAGTTAAAAGGGTTCCTGTGATTGCTAAGTTCCAAAGACAAATTATTAGCCTGTTACTTTACTCAACGGGAAGCCATCAACAACAGGAAGGATGTTAGAAATAGTTGTCTCAGAGTGGAAAGAACTTGGACATGTTTGCAGTACAAAGGATATGACTAAAGCTGCTGAAGAGAGCAGGAAGAAATGAAGGAGTGAAGTCCCTGAGCTATAAATAGAGGATAGGTCCCAAGGCATAGGTGGAAAGATTTACGTCCGTGAAATAGTTAGTCATAGCAGCAGACTTTTCTAGGGTAAAAAAGACAGTGGCTGAAAAAGAAGTATTGATGATCCCTAGCACTGGAAATAAGTCCTAAAGGCCCCAGCCAGTCATAAATTAAATGGTCAGAATAAATGCTATTAAGTGAATCCCATGAAACCCAGTGAAAATGGCAGATTTTTATTATTATTATCGTGTTGCCAGAGATCAAACCACATGCTAAGTAAGCTAAAGCCTCAATAGTTTCTTCAATGAGACACTAAAAGAAGGAAAAGAAGAAAAATCATGTTGTTTTGTCCTATACTGAGTAATGAATGTTATTTCCTTCCTGTTTATTAGGCAGGTATTTCACTGCCTCACTTTGTCCCAGTACTCTGTTTTTGTCTTTCAAATGTTATGTGTGTGACTGTTTTGCCTGCATGTATGTATGTGCCCCTGCTTGAATGCCTGGTGCCTACAGAGGCCCTGGAGCTGGAGTTCCAGGCAGCTGTAGCCTCCATGTGGTTACTGAACTCTCAATTCTACAAGAACAGCAAGTGAAGCCGGGCGCTGGTGGTGCGTGCTTTTAATCCCATCCATTGGGAGGCAGAGGCAGGACGATCTCTGTGAGTTTGAAGCCAGCCTGGTCTAGAGAGCAAGTTCCAGGACAGGCAAGCTACAAAGAGAAAGCCTTTCTTCAGAAAAAAAGCAAGTGCCTTTAACTGTAGAACTATCTCTTCAGCCCTTACCTTTATAAAAACACAAATCATGTCTATTTTTGTTTATGTGTATGTGTGTGTTTGTGTATGCTACGTGTGTGTGGGCGCCTGCAGAGAGACCAGAAGAATGCACAGATAAGCCAGGATGGCTGTGGGTACTGGGAGGTGAACCCAAGTCCCTTGCAACAGCAGTAAAATCTCCGGACCATCTCTCCAGCCCTGGGGTTTTAAATGTTAAAAATGTACTTTGTATGTAATGGAAACTGTGTCAAGGATAACATCACAGTAAATGGTGAAATGTTATATTCCCCCTAAATAAAAGGCCCCTCTAACTCGATTTTCTCCCACGATTGTTACAGATTTTGAACCTTATAAGGGTGACCTGGTAGAAATTGAATTTGTTGAGCAGCGAGCCTCACAGAGCAGAAAGGCCATCTTGATGAAGCCTCTGAAGCATCACCATGTCAATGAGGTAGTTTATGTGCTGTGCTTGTCCCCTGTGCCTACTTCCCTTTCAGGTAGTGACCATCTTTGTTGCTCAGGATTAGGAAATCTAAAATAAAAGGTTTTGCCAAAATCAGCTTGTTTTCTTATTAAAAATCCCATAATCCTAAAAGGCCATGATGAGAATAATGTCATACACATGATGAAAACTTAAGTTTATATAATTTATCTGGGAATCATCAAAATGTGATAAGAGCAACAAACCAAAAAACAATCATCAGGTTTCTTGGAATTGTTAAGAAAAAATGAGTGGAGTGTCATTTAAACTCCTCATTAGTATGACATGGGTAGCAAAAACTGAAAACAAGTTGTCTTGAACTCCTTTTGCACCATAGGAAAAATGAAGGAATGTTCCTCTAATGCAACCAGTGAAGTAGAGGAAAATGATAGTCCATACAATAACACATTCCTATTTGGCTCCTTTTTTCATGTAGTCACCCTTAACTGGAAGTTACAGTCATTGTGGGTAATACTTAGCATAAAACTTCCTCAGCAGGGACTGCTTTCATTGGTGTGAGGTTGTAGCTGGACAGGAGTGTACTTGTGGCACCTAGATGTTGCTGTTGTAGAAAATAGGTTGGGGTGAAGGGATCTGCTGGTTAGAGCAGGAGAGCAAAGGGACAGAGTCTGTGACCGTGGATTATGATCTTCTACACTCATTTTTCATCACAGGTTTGTGTTACTAGAGCAGATGGAAAAACTGGAGTGTTGGAAGACAGCATCTTTTTCACCTTGGACTCTCTTAGGCTTCCTTGTGGATATGTGCCTCAGCCAGATGATGTTGTCAATGTGGTTGCAGTGCAGAGCATTGAGTCCCAGTATTTCTGGAGGGCAGTCAGAATGACCCCAGTACAAGTATCGCAGGGACTAAGCCTTTGAATTGCTTCTTCAGCGTTACTTCTATGTGGAGCGGAGGGCCTGGTTGAATGCAATAGTTTGAATGAGTAAGGCAAAATATATGTTAAATATGTTTTTACTTAGAAACCCGCTGGGAATTTTGTTGGATGTATGGACTCACTTTGGGAAGGTACCTGATCTATGTAGAGACATCACCAAACTGGCTTTGATTTCTAGCAAATAAACAACACTTCATAGTAGGTTCCATTCTTTGCTTTCCGTGGTCAGGAATGTATTAGTGCTGCTAGTGGCCTTGTTTGTCCCTTGAGCAACATGCAGAGGGAGGCCAGCAAGTGACTGTGTGAAATGTGAAGACACAGGTGTCTTCAGTTCTGAGTCCCCTTATGCTGTGTACAATGGTTACTTTTTCCGTAGCATTTTTCATTTCCTACTGCCTACTCAGTTTGTTAAATTTCATGTCTATCTAGTAGATCCCATCCTTCCATGGTATAATGCTAGATTCATACATATAGGGTTTTCGTTCATTCATTAGCTTCTCAGCCAAGCCTGATAGTTGGGGCAAATTGCACATTACTAACTTTAATAAATGAGTTGTCTGAGCAGCAATACTGTTTACCTGTGGTTAATTGACCATTCCGTCTCTAGGAATGAATTTGTTCTGTATGTTATTAGTTGTTTACTTGCTTGTGTTTTTGTTTTTTTTTTTTTGAAACAAAACATTGCTATATGGAGTATGAATCAGCTCCCATTATCCCTTTGTGGGAGAGGTACAGCCTATCTACCGACAAGAATTAGGGCAAATACAAAGCACCATAAAGGAGGGGACGTTGCTTACTCAAGCTAGAGGCCATTTCCAAGATCCCACTAGTCTACCCCATGAGATGATGCCTCAATTTTTCTTTCTTTTTCTTGTTTTTTGGGGATTTTGTTTTGTTTTGTTTTTGAGACAGGGTTTCTCTGTGGCTTTGGAGGCTGTCCTGGAACAAGCTCTTGTAGACCAAGCTGGTCTTGAAGTCACAGAGATCCGCCTGCCTCTGCCTCCCGAATGCTGGGATTAAAGGCATGCGCCAGCAACACCCGGCTCCTCAATTTTGCTTAATGCCATGTACCCAGCTGACTGTACTATTGTGAGTCATTGCCAATGTGTGGTATTACTGGAAAGTAACGATGAGTTCTAACACTGTCCTAAGAGTCAACATTCTACCACATGCCACTGACCCGAGTAAGTTTCTAAGTTTGGTTATGAATTTGCCTTACATTTCTAGTAGGCACTTTGTTGTGGGATAATCTTTCTGTACACTGTAAACATGTGTCTCTGCCTAAGGCACCTTCTGATTGGTTTAATAAAAAGCTGAGCAGCCAATATCTAGGCAGGAGAGGATAAGCAGGATTTCCTGGCAGAGAAAATCAGAGGAGGAATTAGATGCTTGGATTTTGCCAGCAAACTTGTAGCCAGGCAGACCTGCCATACTGAGGACAGGTAAAGAGCCACATGATAGAATGTAGATTTTAAAATGTGGGTTAATTAAGTTATAAGAGCTAGGTGGAAGCAAGCCTAAGCTAAAGACCAATAATATTAAGTCTCTGTGTCATTATTTGTGAGCTGTCAGTCCCAACATGAAACTACTACTACAGTACTCCCCAGGGTCCTGTGGGTTTTACACCACTTTATAATTAATACCATAGGAGTGAAGTGGTTTCATCTTAAGTAAATTCTTACTAACTATGTGTTATATATCAGACAGTGATGTGGGCATTGAAATAAGATCAAAATCACACATGTCCAGGTTTTAATGGAACTTGGCTCATGTCTATGCTTTTTTCGTTCCTGACCCCAGGAGCTATCACACAGGAAAGGAAGGCAAGTGGAAGCTCTGAAAGGTCCAGGTCCCCATGATTATCATTATTTTTAAGCGACCCTACACCTTGTAGAAATCACAGCGAAGTGATGTGGCCCCTGGTAGGTCAAGCATGTTCCAATGAATGGCCCTACACCCAGGACTATATGGGCTGTAAAAATTGGAACCAACTGGTTATTTACAACAGAGTATGAAGTTGTAGGAAGTATGGGTATTGGGGTGGATCTGAGAGGAGTTGGGGGTGGTGAATATAATCAAATACACTGTAGGAAATTTTCAAATAATAAAATATTTTAAAGTGTTATATAGAAAATAGGCATATTATGCTCCTCTGGTGGAATGAGTTTTGTTCTTCTATACAAGCTGGAAATTTGTGTGTCCCACTTATTAATGAATGAGTGTTCTATTTGACTTTATGTTATCCCTACCTAGGTACTTTGACCTATACCCTGAACCAGTATAATGTACTACATAATATGTGTTCCTTTATTTAGCTACTCCCTAAATTACTATTTTGGACAGTTTGGAGATTTCAGACTGAATGTTTGGCTACACAGATGACAACTGGCCATTTACATTGTGTCATTATCATTAACCTGACTCCATTCTTGCACTAGAGCAAACTATTCAACAGACAATAACAGATAAAAGCTTACTTAGTGTCTCCGACATACACTTATTCCATACAGGGACATCACCATCACTCAGCACAACTGTCTGTGGTTCACTTGGGAAAAAGTTCATTACCTACCTGGTGGTAATGCCCTGAAATGATAACTGAGGCCTTGAGTAGGTTCTTCCTCCATGTTCAGACACTGGAGGAATCCATAATTTTGCAGAACTTATTAAAAAATTTTGTCTGGCTTATGGACAAGTATCATAACAAATTTATTTGTAACAGAAGGGGTGTGGTGGGGACATAGCAACCAACTTTTTAAAAAATTGGCATTTAAGAAAACAGAGAGGAAAAGAGGAAGGTGAGCTTAATGAAGAAAGAGTATTTTCAAGACACGGACTACCATATGCCATAGTAGGTAGATAATTAGGAGAGTAGCAAACATGCACTTTATATATGCAGAGAAGAGGCATAGTGAATAAAGATAATATACCTTACAAGAAAAAACATACTTATGTGAGTTAAATACACAGAAACACTCTGAAGTACTTATTTCACTTCTGTAACTGTTGGTAAAACGTGAGAAATTTGATAAGTATTTAAAATTCCTATTTCATGATGGAAATGTAGCCGTGAAAAATAGGGCAGGAAAATAGGGTCAGGCACACATCACTCTGAGTCATAAGGAGATTGCAGTAACTGAGAAAAAATAGCATCCCTTTGACTGCCCTAAGGATTGTACAAAACCCTTCCAGCAAAGAACATTAATCACCCAAACGGCCACCAAATGGTCCACCCTGTCAGAGACCCTTTACTTTCTCTTTTGTAAAAGCACCTGCACACATAAAGTGGGGCTCTTAAGCCCCTCTCTTGTTCATGTCCATTCCTGTTCTGTTCAGTATATTTTATGCCTTGTATTTTCAGTAAATCTAGATTTTAATTATTACTACTGTGTGTCTTGTTCAAATCTTCATTAGAGTTGTAAAGAACCTGGCCTTTATGTCAAGTGTGACCTGAGAAATTCCCTCCAGTAACGAGGGAGACAAGACTTTGGATAGATCCCAGCACCACATAAAATCTTAATCTAATGATGCACTAATTGTAAGACTAACTTTTTAAAAATATTTCATTTAAATTAGAAAAAAATCTTATTTTACATATCAATACCAGTTCCCTCTCCCTCCCATCCTCCCATGCCCCCCACCAACCCTCCCCATCCCATCACCCATCCACTCCCCAGGGAGAGTGAGGTCTTCCATAGCGGATCATCAAAGTCTGTCATATCATTTGGGGCAGGGTCTAGGCTGAGAGAGCATCCCTCTGTAGAATGGGCTCCCAAAGTCCATTCCTATACTAGGGATACCAGAGGCCCCATGGATTGTCCAGAACTCCTAACTGACACCCAACATTCAGGGGGTCTGGAACAATCCTATGCCGGTTTCCCAGCTATCAGTCTGGAGTCCCTGAGTTCCCCCTTGTTCAGTTCAGCTGGTTCTGTGGGTTTCCCCAGCACGGTCTTGACCCATTTGCTCCTCCCTCTCCACAACTGGATTCCAGGAGTAAGGGTCAGTGTTCAGCTGTGGGTGTCTGCTTCTGCTGCCATCAGCTACTGGATGAAGGCTCTAGGATGGCATATAAGGCAGTCATCAATCTCATTATAGGGGAAGGGCATTTAAGGTAGCCTCTCCACTATTGCTTAGATTCTTAGTTGGGGTCATCCTTGTGGATCTCTGGACATCTCCCTAGTGACAGATTTCTCTTTAAACCTATAATGGCTCCCTCTATTATAGTATCTCTTTTCTTGCTATCCTCTATTCTTCCCCTGACTCAATCTTTCTGACCCCCTATGTCCTCCTCACCCCTCCTCTTCTCCCCTCCTCTTTCTCCTAACTCCCTCTCCCCTCCCTCCAAGCCCCCAATTTGCTCAGATCTTGTTCCTTTCCCCTTTTTGGGGGGACCATGTATGTCTCTCTTAGGGTCCTCCTTGTTTCTTAGCTTCTCTGGAGGTGTGGATTGTAGGCTGGTAATTCTTTGCTCTATATCTAATATCCATATATGAGTTGAGTACATACCATGTTTGTCTTTCTGTGACTAATTTCTTCCTATATAAATTATACTAGTTCAGAAAAGGATGAGTTATATACATGCATGTCCTTTTTAAATTGGAGAACATTCACTTTAAGATGAGGGTTGTTATATAGGAAAAGAATAAACATGAAAAAGAAAGAATTGTTCCTTTCCCTCTAATGGTTTTTTGTTTAAACATATGTCTAAAGTTTCACATTTATTTGAATCACATATTCTTTTATGTTTCTCTGTAAAACAAAATGCACTTTTTTCTGTTTTGGTTCTTCAGGACAGGGTTTCTCTGTGAAGCCCTAGCAGGCTGGCCTCAAACTCAGAGATCTGCCTGGCGCTGCCTCCCAAGAGCTGGGATTAAAATTAAAATGCACATTTTAAAAGATGAGTTATTAAACTATGTTTGATAATGAATCTAAATACACAACTCCCAAATATTTGCTAACAGTAATATTCAAGACTTTGAA